GTGCCGCCGGGTGGCTGGGCCTCTGCCCTTCCCATGAGTTTCTGCTCAGGGTGTGCCCAAGCTGCCACTCAGCCCAGGCCAGGGTGAGGCCAGATCAGGGTGCAAATGGGGTGTGGGGCTGAGCCCGACCCCTCCCAGGGAGCCCCGGGAGGGTGGGGGGGCTGCATCCTCATCCCTGCGTGGCCCATGGCACTGGGCAGCCCCTGGAGCCCTGCGGGGCCGGAGTACCCCGAAGCAGGGCTGGAGGGCACCAAGCCTGGCACCACCACCCCTGCTCTCCTGGATGATGCCACCACCACCCCTCTGTGTGCCCAGAACATGGAAATCAACAGCGTCATCTACACCGTATTTGCCAACGACAGCGACACCGGGAGTGCCTCCAAAGTCAGCTACAGCATCGAGGAGGTGAGCACAGGGCTGAGCCCCAACGCCTCAGGCATTTCCCTGGCCAGGGGCTCAGCGTGCTGGGGGGAGGGATGCTGGGGGTCCCAGGACCTCCTCAGTAAGTGCTCTGTGCCAACGGGAAGACAACGCGGCTCAACCGCGTGAGCAAGGGCAGGCCCTGGCATCTGCCCTGGCTGAGCCTGCGCGCTCCCCGGCACCAAGGAGGGGTTCACGCCTGCTGGAGAGCAGCAGCGTGTCGCATGGTGGGCCATGCCGTACCCGAAACCCACCCCTCAGCCACCCCCACGGGGCAGAGGTGCTGAGGGACCTGGCCAGGGGCAGCCCCCTGGCTCCAGGGGAGCAGGGGTATGTGTCGGGTCAGGAGGGGTGGCTCTGCACCCCCTGGGCAACGTGTGCGAGGTGCTGAACTCGAGAAGCTGCGGATGAGCCCGCGTGGTAGGTGGTCCTCTGCTCCCTGCCTTGGTGACACGGGGTGATGTCCCCTGCCCAGGTGATCCCAGACAGCACGAAGAATCTCTGGCTTTTCTACATCCTGGCCAATGGGAACGTGGTGCTCAATGGCTCACTGGACTATACCACAAACACCTTCTACCAGCTGAAGATCCTCGCCAAGGTGGGGTCCAGCTGGGCCGGGGACAGAGGGCTGCCAGGTAAGGGTGCCATGGGGCTAATGGGTGCTCTGCTCCCCAGGATGGTGGGGGGATGCTGCACAACGTGTTGACCTTCCAGCAGAGCTCGACTTACCTGTCTCTGACTATCCGCGACCTGCCCAACCTGGACCCACGGTTCCTCAACGAGCCTTACTCCGGCTCCGTGCCCGAGAACTGTGCCCTGGTAAGGAGCCCACCTGCCCCAGCGGCATGGCCCTACCCCAGCCCTCCTCGGGGCCTCTGACACCCCAGGATGTCCGGGCCACCAGGCACGGGGGCAGCTGGGGGTGTCATGGGTCTTGCCCTGATGGCCGCATCCCTGCAGGGCACCACTGTGCTGACTGTCACCGCCATGGACAGAGACACGGGGGTGAATGATGAAATCTTCTACAACATCACCAGTGAGTGATGGGGCAGGGCCCGGGGGTGATCAGGCAGCGAGGGGCACTGCTGGGACTGGTTCTGGGCTCCCGGGAGCTGGTGGCCTGCCCTGCTGGCAGAGAGGGGGTCAGGACTGCATTTCCCGGTGGCTGCAGCCGGTTCCTGCTGTCCTCTTGCCCTAGCTGCCAGCATCCCCTTTGCTATCGATGCCACAACGGGCACTATCACGGTGAGTGGGCCCCTGGACCGTGAGCAGCTGCCAAGTGAGGAAGTGCTGCTGGAAGTCACGGTGAGTAGGAGGCAGCAAGGGGAACCCCATCCTTCTCTTCCCGGGGCCCTCCAACCCACTCTCTCGTCCTGCCCAGGCGCGTGAGAAGGAGCTGAACATCTACAATGAGGTGGCACAGGTCAGCACCCTGGTGACAGTTGTGGTGACCGACATCAATGACAACAAGCCCGAGTTCTACAACTGCTCCCTTGCCAGCTGCAACTTCTCCACCAGTGCCCAGAACAACTTCAGGGGCAACATCATAGAGCACTCCTCCTCCAGACTACCCGTGTCCGACCTCAGCATCGTCACCTACGACCCGGACAAGGTGGGAGCTTGTCCAGGGGGCTGGGCTGGGGTGCAGACGGCTGTCCTGGCTGCACCACCACCCTCACTCCTGCACGTCTCTCCCTGGCAGGGCACCAACAGCAGCTATGAGCTGTACCTCCAGGGTCCGGATGCCAGTGCCTTCACCGTCTCCCCCACAAAAATCGTGGGCACAGGGGAGGTCCAGCTCCTGGTGCAAGACCCACTCTCTGTGGACTACGAGAAAAGCCATGTCATGGTGGTACAGGTTCGTTGTGGGGACAGTCCCTGCTCCCTGCATATGCCGGGGCACAGAGGGGACCCAGCCCGTCTCCTGCGGGGTTCAAAAGCCAAAGCAGAACACGGCTCTGCCCTGGCAGCTTGTTTTGTTCAGAGGAACTGGGCTGGAGTGTGACAGGTTTCTATCTCATGCTTGGGGACCCATGTGAAACACCATCCCTTCTCCATCCTGCAGATCATTGCTAATGACACGGGGAACCCCACAGACTGCTGCTCCACGGCCACCGTGACCATTGATCTCATTGACAGCAATGACCACATCCCCGAGTTCCCCCAGAGCACCTACAACCTCAGCGTGATGGAGAACAGCCCTGATGGCACCATCATCGCCACAAACATCACGGTCAGGCACTGGGCAGAGAGCAGGCACAGCTTACGTCCCCCAAGCAGGGCGCTGGGCATGCCTGACGCTGCTGGTGAAGCTCTTGTTGAGGGCACTGGTCCCTCTGTGCACACAGGAAGGAGATGGTGCCAGCAGGCACATAGGTTGTGCAACCACATGTCTAGCAGGGCCACATTTTGGGGTGCTCACTGCTAGCAGCTGGTGCCCCAGACTCATCATTGCCCTGGGTGCTGAGATGGATTGACCAGATGCTTCTTTCTCTCTGTTTTAGGCCTACGATCCGGACAGCGGTGTCCTGGGCGAGATCACCTACCAGCTGCTCCCAGAGAGCATGTACGTAGGGGCACAGCCAGCCACCACCGGGGCATTGCCCTGGCGAGGGGCCTCCAGGGCTGAGCCCTGGTGATGACTCCATGTGTGCCGTAGCCGTAAAACCTTCGCGGTGAATGCCACAACCGGGGCAGTGCTGGTGCAGGACGGGAGCTTGCTGGACCGGGAGACTCGCTCCATCTACTACGCCAACCTCCAAGCCAAGGATGGAGGCAACCTGGTGAGCACCACTGTGCTGGAGATCACCTTGCTGGATGACAACGACATGACGCCCATTGTCACTGGCTCCTACTTCATCTCGGTGCAAGAGGGCCAGAACGTTACAACGCAGATCCAGGTATGCGCCACTGGAGGTGAAGAAGACAATGGGGGGCTGTTGGAGAGGAGCAGGGACTGGTCGCAAGGTGCTGGACACCCCCGTTTCCCGTTTCAACCCCTGACCTTTTCAGGCCATCGACAACGATGAGCCTGGCAACCCCAACAGCGAGCTGGGCTTCAAGATCTTGCCAGGATCATTCAGCAACAACTTCACCATCGACGTGACCACAGGTGAGATGCACAGCAAGGAGCCGCTGGACCGTGAGGCCTTGGAAGATGAGCGGGGGCAGATGGTGGTGACAGTGGAGGTGTACGACCACGGTGTGCCACAGCTCAGCACTTCGGTGAACGTCACCATCACTGTGGGGGTGAGCCCTGGGCACAACTGGGGACACGCTGGGGCAGGCGGAGTCTTGGAGATGGGACATAAGGGCAGAGAGGGGATGTGGGATCCCTG